AATTAATTCACCACTTCCCACGGGCAGCCAGGTGTTCAGCCAGCTCCAAGAAAACAGGGCCCCATCATGTGCAGCACCTACTTGAGAAGACAAATGCCATGACTCCAAATGTTTCCCCTTTTCCTTTTCTTCCCCTCAGCTTTATGTACAGAGCATGGTGTCACATGGTCTGGAATATCCCTTGGGTGGGTTGGAGTCACCTGTCCCAGCTGTGTCACCTCCCAGCCTCCCAGGCACCCCCAGCTTCCTCACCAGTGTGGCAGCACAAACAGCAGAAAAGGCCTTGGCTCTGTGTAAGCCCTGCTCAGCAATAACAAAAACATCTCTGTATTACCAACCCTGTGTTCAGCACAAATCCAAAACACAGCCCCATACCAGCCACTGCGAAGAAAATTAACTCTACCCCAGCTGAAACCAGCAGAACAACTCATTTAAGAAGCTGCAAATTAAAAATAAAGTTTAATGAGTTTCACTTGTAGTTAATGATCTCTCAGGTGGTAAGTTTTTAGGCTGTTCCTAAAAGTAGTTAGACTGTGGATAATATTAAAGTAGGAGAAACACAGTTTTTTCCAGAGGGTGGAATCCCAGAACTGAAACCTCAAATGAAGCACGGTTTTGCCCCTGTGCCAGATGAGGAGCATGTTCTGTGTCTGCTGCATTAGGAAGCCTGCCAGTGATTTGTTGTTAGTATGGTGCTGCCTTACCAGTATCTTTAGAACAGACCAATGCAGTCTCAAATACATGTTTCACTGATGTGTTTCTGTGCAGTCTTCATTTCGTAATGTGTAGGCAGGGAAATGCTTACTCTCTTAAAACAAGTGTCAGTTGTTCTAGGGATTCCAGATTACAGATTTGGGGTCTTCGGGGCTGTCTGTTTGAATTTTTTATCTGAAGTACAATATTTCATGTAAGTTCCCCAGTAGAACTATTTTTGGTTCAAACTGATTGTAAAGAAATATTATACTTCTGCTTCAATTCCAGACAGGACAGCTAAGATCTTGCATTTTGAAATACAATGCACATTTTAATAGTTTGTGTTATACTTTATTCTCCTCTGCCAGATTTGCAGAAAAAAAGGGAAAAAATCCATTATTGCAGCAATTAATGAGTTAGATTGTAGATAAAGTATGCGTGTGCTGGTAGCCAGGATGGGCTGAATGCAAGGGAATTGTAACCTTTTTTTCAAAATACCTGCTTGAAAGGCAAGTGCTTTACCTGAACATAGCTGGTGAGCCTTTCCACTGCTCAGTGACTTGGTATGTGGTCTCTTTCTTCGAAGTGTTTTCTGTGGTTTTGTTAGTGGTTTTCACCAACTTTGCCTGCCTTCTGTTAACAGACTCATCAGTTAGCCTGAAGATTCTCCTCCAGAATATTGGAAAATCAAAATTTCTAAGAAATGCTGGACTAGGCATTCTCTTCAGTGGTCTCTTGAGATATGCAAAGGAGTGTTTGATTGCATTAACAAAAAAAGAAGAATACTGTGATTCTTAAATTCCACTGGCGCAGTATTTGATAGTTTTGTAAAATAATATGGTAAACAAGGTTTGCTAACTTTGCTTCCTCATTTTGGGAAGTATAGAATCATACAAACCTCTGTTTCTATGGGTACTGTATCAAGGGCTAGTGCTACTTCAGTATTGTTGTTTGTAAGGGCTACTGGAAGGTGTAACACTTAAACCTGCTGGTAAGGGGAAAAGTCTTTTACAGTCATGGCAGATGCAGAAGTAGGGTGATTATAGAGAGTCGTGCTCTTTCTTTTATGGCAAGTGTGGTCTAGTATGTGTTAAAAATAATTAATTTTCTCATGCAGTAAACATTAAGGACTCTTGACAGGTTTGTTTTCTTCTGAGGCTGTTTGTCTTTTCTGGTTGCCAATGTTCATAGAATCATTGAGGGGTTAGGGAGGGGTAAAAAAATCCCAAAACAAAGGTCCTTGGGTTTTATTTCTGCTTTTTGTTGTTGCTGTTTTGTTTTGCTTTGTTTTGTTTGTTTGTTTGTTTTTTTTTAATTTTCCTTGTGATTTGTAAGGCTGCAAAAATATATACAGGTGGCTAATTTTACACTCTGGTCAGTAATTTAAATTAAATACTTTTTTCCTTTTGTTTTTAATGATCTTGGATAGAAAATCAGATTGGTGTTAAGTTTTAATGTGAGTTTTACAACGTAGGAATTTGATAAAGCATTTTGGAAGTATTAGCAAGTGGATGCACTAAATTGGTTGCATATCAAGTCAAATCACCTTCTGTGTCATGGCTTCATTTTCTTTCATTCCCTTGTCACAAGCTATCAGTCTATTTTGGGAGTTACTTGCTTCTGACATAGAAAGGCCTGTCCTCCTTATGAATTTGAATGCCCACCCCCACTCCAGTAAACTTTCAGAAACACTGGGTAGTTAGTTTTGTGATACATTAAGTGTTTCTGGAATGTTCATGGAGTCCTGTTAACAAAAGAGTAAAATGTGACGATACAATGCCACCTAGCCATACCTTTTTCTGTACTTTGTGTCTGCAAGATTTGGAAGGACTGGACTTGGCGTTGCTATTTTTAATAAGAGAAAGTCATTAGGTAATGTAAATAGTAAAGTTTTATACAGATAGAAACAGTGTGTAAGCAGTATTAGCAATACAATGAAGTGACACTTAATATTTAGAAGTATCAGGGCTACCAGAACCATCTGCAGTCCAGTTTTTTGTCTGTACAAGGAGGAGCCTTTCATATTATGGTAACACTAGCTATCTTTGATATGTGATTAAATTCCTGCAGGTCATTTTACAATTTAAGGTTGATTTAAAAAAATTAAATGAAACCTACTTTGCAATAATCATTGCCGTCTTTAAAAGATTACTTTAATTTTGCCAAACCCACCATATGTGTTTCTTGGAAAATTGGTTGTCAAAGAGAATGATTTTTAAATTACTTCTGCTTTTTATTGGCCTTTTTTCTTCTTAGTACAGCAATAGATACACCGTTGATTTTTAGTTTATTACTGAATAGATAATGCTACAAAAATTGAAATAACTGCTGAATTGTGTTCAGTCACTATTTATCACTATAGACTATATAGTCACTATAGTGACACTATAGACAATGTAATGTTTTGAAATGGATGAGTTAATTCACAGAATAGTGGTTGATTTGCTGCATTTATTTGAACTGTTCAATTCCTGTCAATTTCTGGCCAATGTGTAGCCTTTGATTTACACATTAGAACCACTCCCATGTTTTCTTTCAAATTCTTCCTCTAATTTAACATTTGATACTTATTAGGTGTCGATGGCTGGCAGTGTTATTTCTTAAGGTTGGGGTTTATGTTTGGGTTTTTTTTAAGTTGACAACTCCCGCTATCTATCTACTCCTAGGCACTTTTCTATGGAAACTTGTGTTCCTTACGAAGTATTCTTCCCACGGCTGTATCTGTACCATCCAATCAAACTTCAGTTAGGTGCAGCCACTAAAAATTAGTGGTGATAGCCTCGTATTATTAGTTTATACGTGGCATAATTTAAGCCGTGGTTATTTTAATTCTAAGGGCTACTGCAGTATAAATAACTGGAAAATTAGACTACTTCTGATTGGCTGTTTAAACTGAAATCAGTAGCTGTAATATCAATCAAAAGTCAATTTTAAATTTAGAGCATACAGTTGGAAAGAGCAGTGAAATTCCTCGGAGTTCTACATAGCTGCATTGTAAATTAATGGCATACAGACTGCTGGATTCAGTTTACCTGGACAATGGCCAAGCTTATTTTGTGTGGATTTTTTTCAGTCATAGTGTGTATGCCTGGCAATTGATAAAAGAGTGTCAAAAGCAGCATTACGTGTTGACGGATATATATTCTGCAGGAGTATGTACTATGCATACCTAGCACTGTTCCAGTTGTCAAAGCTAGCAAAATACGTATTAATAGATGTTACTCATGCCTTTTGGCTTATTTGTCCTTAATGTGCTTAATGTTGCTATTTTTAAAATGTATTGAAAATATTTACTTGGAGGTAGAAACAGCCGCCAGTTGAAGAGCTCTGCTGCGAAGGATAGTGTATGGAGCCGAGTACACCATGAAACAGCTGTGTTAACTGCTGATTCAGCCAACACCCATGTACTTCTGGTTTTGCCTTTATCAATAAATGCAGAACTGAAGATGGTCTGAGGGACCAGTCATTCTTTAGTTCTGGATTGACTGCTGTAGTTTCATTTTAACTAGACTTTCAACAGCATAGCAAAAAGAATAAAGTGCATGTGTGTTGGTAAGTTTGTATATAGGTCTACATTTGACATCTTCCTCTCCTAGGAATGTCAGGGTCTTGTCCTTTCTCAGTTGACATATTGACGGTTTTCTAGTCTGTGATGTCAGAGACAGATTTACAGTTGATAAGCTATGTGTGCCAAATTTGCCAACTTTCAATCCATTTAAATTTGCTTAAATCTCTGCTCCTCCTATTGAAAATTTTGTTAGTCTAGGTAGAGATTGTAGTGTGGCCAGACATATAACTGACTTAGTGCTATGAATGTTAAAAATTGACTGAGGTATTAGAAAGGTCGAAAATAATTTCCCTTTGTATGAGCTAGATTTAACTTTATGAATCTTGATCTAACAAATAGTTTCATGTGCCACTTTGTGTTGGGATGTCTTCTTCAGTTTACTTGTTAGTAAACGGTTGTAAAATCACTGGCCACTATTCAGAAATATTTCAGGAAAATAATATTTTGAAAGTAAAGTTCACTGTCAATAAATGAAATAATCTAGTATTCTTATGGGGCTTTTTTCATAAAATGTTTGAATTTTACACTTAAAATATGATTCAGGGGACAAAGTATGTTCATAACTCTGGTATAATTGCAAAAACCTGAGTCATAAGCTTTAGAAAATAACTTTTTTGTCATCTTTTCCATAAATTTGATTAGTATGTCAGCTAAATTTGGTAGCCCCATTCACTGCAATCCTTTGAGCTCTGTCCTTCAGACAGTTCTACACCCAGTCCACCATGACCCTGCTCTTCCCACACTTGGATAACTTGTCCAGAAGGATGTTGTGGGAGACAACATAAAAGACAAAAAAGGCAAAAATCCTACATCCATTGTCTTCCCTTTGTCTGCTGGATGGGTGACCTTATTCTAAAAGGATCTCAAACTAGTTAAAACAGGACTTATCCCTTGTCAACCCAAGCTGATGGTACCTAATGATCACGTTGTCCTTTAAATGCCTTACAGTAGCATTCAGGGTAATCTTCTCCATAATTTTTCTGAGTGTTGAGGTAAGACTAACAGATCTCTAGGTTCCTGGGTAATCCCTCTTTCCCTTCTTATAAAATGAAATAACTTTGGTTAGTTTCTATTCAGTAGAGACCTCCCAAGACCTTTAGTAGCTGATGGAGAGAGATACTGCCATAACAAACATCAGCTTTTTCAGTACATGGGTAAATACGATCAGGTCCCATATACGTGTGAACTGTGAACTGCTACAGCTAGTCCCTGAGAAGTGTCTAAACAAATGGGAAGTCAAAATTCCTGAAGTCATCCTCTAAATCGGGGGACTGGGCAGATCGTAGTTTATCTGTAGTATTAAAGACTGAGGCAAAGGAAAACATTGAATGTCTCCACACTTCTTCACCCTTAATAGTCAGATGACCATCTTCAATAAGTATTTTCTTTAGACCTCTTCTTGCTATTAGTGTACTTCAAAAACCTTTCTTGTTGTCTGACGCAGTACTGGTCAGTTTCAGTTCTAATTGAGCTTTGGCCTTTTGCATCTTGTCCCCTGCATATATGAACCACAGCTCTGTCAAATTCCTGCAAAATCTGACCTTGTTTCCAGACAGCATACAATTTCTTTTTCCTCCTAAGGTCCAAGTGGAGTTCTTTGTCCAATCAAACTGGTCTCCTGTCCTGCTTGCTTGGCTTTTGATACAAAGGAATTGCCAATTCCTGTACTTTGATGTAGTGAAGAATTCAGTTTTTATTCTGGTTTGGGGTTTTTTCTTAAACCTTGTGTAATTTTTTCAGATAATAGTATCAAAAATTTTTGTTTTTATAACTGCCTGGCAGCCTTGCTTTCATAGTACATAAATGGGGAAACACAAGGTATTTTAAAACCATTAATATTTTGGGGGTTTTAACTGGTTTTTTTTAACTATTAGCATGGTGAGATTTGGACTGTAATTTGATATAATTTATGTAATTCTCTTTGTTCTCTTGCAGGAAATACAGCACTACATGACTGTGCAGAATCTGGAAGTTTGGAGATCATGAAGATGCTTCTCAAGTATTGTGCTAAAATGGAAAAGGATGGTTATGGAATGACTCCCCTTCTGTCAGCCAGTGTGACAGGCCACACAAATATAGTGGACTTCCTGACCCAGCATGTACAGACTAGTAAGGCTGAGCGCATAAATGCCCTGGAACTTCTGGGAGCAACATTTGTGGACAAAAAGAGAGATCTCCTTGGTGCTTTGAAATACTGGAAAAGAGCTATGGAAATGAGATACAGTGATAGGACTAATATCCTCAGCAAACCTGCGCCACAAACGCTGATTATGGCTTACGATTATGCTAAAGAGGTGAACAGCTCAGAAGAGCTAGAAAATCTTATTGCAGATCCAGATGAAATGAGAATGCAAGCATTATTAATTAGAGAACGCATTCTTGGCCCTTCTCACCCAGACACATCCTACTATATTAGATACAGAGGTGCTGTGTATGCAGACTCCGGAAACTTCAAGCGTTGCATCAATTTGTGGAAGTATGCTTTGGACATGCAACAGAGCAATCTTGATCCGCTGAGTCCTATGACAGCGAGCAGTTTGCTGTCATTTGCTGAACTGTTCTCCTTCATGCTTCAGGATAGGGCAAAAGGCCTGCTAGGCACTACTGTCACTTTTGATGATCTGATGGGTATACTGTGCAAAAGTGTTCTTGAAATAGAACGGGCCATGAAGCAAACCCAGTGTCTTCCTGATCCGGTACAGCTGAACAAAGCCCTTTCCATCATTTTGCATTTAATTTGCTTGTTGGAGAAAGTACCTTGCAGCTCAGAACAGGAACATTTTAAGAAACAAACTATTTACAAGTTTCTTAAGCTTCAGCCTAGGGGAAAGAATAACTTCAGTCCACTTCACCTTGCTGTTGACAATAATACCACATGTGTTGGCCGCTACCCAGTTTGTAAATTCCCGTCTTTACAAGTTACTGCTATCCTGGTGGAATGTGGTGCTGATGTGAATGTCAGAGACTCTGATAACAACAGTCCATTACACATTGCTGCACTGAACAACCATCCAGACATCATGAATCTTCTTATCAAGTCAGGTTCACATTTCGATGCCACAAACTCATGTAAACAAACAGCTAGTGATTTGCTGGATGAGAAGGAAATAGCAAAGAATTTAATCCAGCCCATAAATCATACTACTTTGCAGTGTCTTGCTGCTCGTGTAATAGTGAATCATAACATATGCTATGCAGGGCATATCCCTGAGAAACTAGAGAACTTCGTTTTACTCCATAGATGATAGTGTGGTGTTCCAGAGTACTGTTTTTGAAGCACGATGTGGTAATATTTTCATTGAGCACTGTTGTGATACACCAGCGTTCCCTTAGCTTGCTCCATTTTGCTCTCATTGGCTAGTGTTGTTAGCATCAGATCTGCAGAGTTGGTTACCCAGTATTTAATATGAATCTGCCATATAATATATTTTGTGGATTATTTAGAAATGTAATGCCATATTTAGACTTTTTAAATGGTCTGCCAAAGGCTTGTCTTTTCTGGTCTTATTTGCCTGTTGGGTGTTTGGGACTGAGTTGAGTATTTTCCACTGATGTCTTTTTACTATAACTGTTATGTGGATTTTATACGATTGGAAGGTCATCTTTTTTTGGTTTTGCTTGAGTGTTTCTACTCTTACTCTCTTCTTTTTCTATGGACTCATTGCTAAACTGTGCAAGTTGTATGGACTTGTTAACATTTGCAACTACCATAAGTGCTTTTATCTTCTCTATGCACTGGCTTAAACATGACTGTTGTGTGTGAGCATATTCCTATGCAGCACTTGGCCAATTTCAACTTAAATGCCAATCTTGTTTTGCAGTTTGTTTAGAGCTCTCTTGAGAATGCTGTCTTCATAGCATGATGAATTTTGGAGTTATTTATCAGCTCTCCAAACCTGGGCTTGACTTCTTTGACTGCTGTAACTGAGGTTGCTTTCATGTTGGTCCTCTGGAATTTTTTCCTAAACTGGGGAGAAGAAAATCTTGCTTTTTCTCTTCGTAGTCCACTTGAACTTTTAATCTGAATATTGTTCTGTTGCATTGTGCAGCTGGGAGAAGAGTCCTCATGATGTACAACTGACACCTTCCCCTCTGCACTGACGTCTTGCTTGTGCCGGTTATGTGACTAGATGTGAAGTTTGCTCGAAGTTTAACCTCGAACCTTAATGATACACTTCTATGAGAAATAGATCAATTATATGCTCTGCTTTAAAATCTGCAAATCAGCTTTAGCTACAGAAGAAAACTAAAGCATGTTGATGGCATGATGTTTATCAGTCCAGATCTAGACATCATATAGTATACTAAGTGGCTGTCTGCCAGGGTATTGAAAGTTATATAGCAGTGTCCTTTTTTCTTCATTTTAAGTATCTTTATAAATGCTTGCATGGATTTTTCATCTTTACTATGTCAGTTGTACTTAACAAAAGCAGAAGTTCTGTTGTGTATATAGCTCCTCCTAAAGTACCTATTTTTTATAATATTTGCACAACAGCTTAGCTTTTGCAACAGAAAGGGCTCTTTTGACTTGATAAGAAGTCTATAAATGAAGATCATAAATGTGAGTGCGATTCAGGTAATTAATATAATTCAGCACTTTACTGTTGATTAATAGTAGAATTTATTATGGCACATTAGCCCTACAAATGTCTTAAAGTGAAATTAATTTCTGTTGGATAGGATACAGTTTACTTGCAAATTTAGTTGTCTAGCATATTGGGTATTTTTGACTTAATGTTTCATCTTAGTCGTGGGCAGTAAGTGTACCTATGGGATTTCTTACACCAGAAATCCAACAACTTGTTTTATGCCTTTGTTAGAGATAAGAGATGTTTAGAATCCAAATTGATTAGGTTAGGAGGGTCTTTTCAAAACTTTAATTTTTAAGTTGGTGTTAGAATATTTTTGTCATTTGTGATTGAACTTGAGGAAGAGCATGTCTTGGGAGCACATAAGAATAGCCCTTCCTTGTTTTTGTTTTGTTTCGGCATTCCTGCCAGTGTATGGCAGTGTACAGGTGCCTACTAGCTTAGCCATTTTTGCAAAAATTATGGGGATGTTTTTAAGCAAAGATATGTTGAAAGCAGTGCTGTTTGTGTATTGTCACTACCAGACTTGCTGTTTTAAAGCAATTTTCACTGTTTTGTCCCTTGCCATGTCTGTGTCATATAGTATTATGAGAATCATAGAATCATTTAGGTTGGAAAAGGTCCTTAAGATCATTGAGTCCAACCCTTAACCCAGCACTGCCAAGTCCAGCACTAAACCATGTCCTTAAGTGCCACATCTACATGTCTTTCAAATACCTCCAGCCGTGGTGACTCAACTGCTTCCTTTGGGCAGCCTGTTACGTTGGTTAACCACTCTTTCCATGAAGAAGTTTTTCCTAATATCCAATCTGTATCTCCCGTAATTCAGCTTGAGGCCATTTCTCCTTGTATCACTCGTTACTCAGGAGGAGAGGCCCACTGCCACCTTATCAAAACCTCCTTTCATGTAACTGTAGAGTCGTGAGTTCTCCATTGAACCACATTATCCCCAGGCTGGACAACCCCAGCTCCTTCCGCTCTCCTCATCACACTTGTGCTCCAAACCCTTCCCCAGCTGCACTGCCCTTCCCTGGACATGCTCTGGCACCTCGGTATCTTTCATGTAGTGAGGGACCTAATAGTGAACATAGCACTCAAGGCATGGCTGCTCTGGTGCCCAGTACAGGGAGACAATCACTGCCCTGATCCTGCTGGCCACACTGTTGCTGATACAGGCCAGGATACAAGTTTCTCTTGCATCACACAAGACTAAACTCTAGTCAGTTGACTGTATTGCTGTGATTTGTGATGCTTAGGACATATGCCACTCAGATTTTCATTTGTGAGGACATGTAGCTTGGCTTTTGAATTTATACATTTTAATGCTTTTCTGCTGCTCTATAAATGGGGATAAATAGCAAATCATACCATGCTAGAAATACATTGTACATCAAGATATAAAAATAATTCTTTTTGTATAGGTCATGAGAAAAGGCTTTTTAGAATTCTTACTTTGGAATCTGTTCTGCTCTGCGGTGGTTTTAGTTTAAATTTCTGTTTATAGCTGACTATTGCCCTGTTTAAAGTTACTTGGACATTATTAGTTGATTGCTCAGCCTGAGGAAGAGAGGGCTACAGAGAGACCTTATAGGACCTTCCAATACCTAAAGGAGGCTACAAAAGAGCTGGAGAGGGATTTTGTAAAAAGTCGTGGGGTGAAAGGACAAGGGGGATTGGCTTTTAACTGAAAAGGGTTAGATTTAGCTTAGATATATGAAAGAAATTATTTACTGTGAGCATGGTGAGGCACTGGTACAGGTTATCCAGAGGAGTTGTGGATGCCCCATCCCTGAAAATGTCCAAGGGCAGGCTGATTGGGGCTCTGGTCTGGTGGAAGGTGTCTCTGCACATGGCAGAGAGGTTGGAACTAGGTGATCTTTAAGATCCCTTCCAACCCAAATCATTCTATGATTTATGATCATCAGTCCAGAAATATAATGTAAAAATCGTCAATTGTCAGCAATTTTTTAAATGGAAAGCATTCCCAAGAATTAAAGCATATCACTGTTAGTTCTATGTAAATCTAGTGAATATTGCTACAAGAAAGGCTTATTGTGTTAACTACTCTTTAGAAACAAACCAGGCTATTAGTACATACTGATTCATTGCACGAATTTCTGTCTAAATTTCTACTGATGTCCGTCAGTCCGAAGGATATATCACCTCCATGCTGAACTTAATTTCTGATGGTGATGGAACTCTCTGCTGAAGCAAATACTTACCTTGCCAGATAACTTGGACTTAAGTGTCCTGGCAGATGAGTTCATGCATTTATGGCCACTTTGCATTTGGACCTGTGTGTTTACACTACTCTGTTTTATTTATCATCATTTTAATTTTGTAATATTTTTGACTCATTCTTTTACCACATTTCTCTTTGCTTCCTGTTTGGCCTTTTTTTCTGAAGAAACATACTGCTTCTGAGTTACTGACACAGAAAAATGCTGAGAACACTGCAGAAATAATTATATGCCCTGCAGGGATGAAATAGGTTTTAAATTTATTAAGCAGCTTACAGGTATTGTTCCCCTAGAGACTGAGGAGCTGATATCTCCTTGCTTGTTGATACCTCTAAGTTACATTTCTGGGGGAAAGGGATAAATGCATAAAGCAATTTTTCTTCTAATAGTTGTGGGTATCAACTGAAGTACTTCAACAAGAAAGATGAAAAATATTCTCATTTAAAAAATCTAAAATTATATTCCTGTTTTTGTATCACTTAGACTGGTAACAAGATTTCAGCTATCTGCAGTGTCTCTGTTGTATTTAAGTGCAGTGTAAAAACACTTTCTGAAATGCAAGGCAACATTGTGGTTAGTTTTCCATATATACTTCACAACACTCCCTGGATAGGAAGTAGTCTCCTGCATTTCCTAAGTCCACAAAGAGCTGTCTTTTAACAACTGTTTTGCAGCTGGTTAAAATTAACCTCTTTCCATTTATACAAGCACTACTTAAAAGAAAGTAGTGCAGTGCTATGGCAAAATCCTTAAAGGAAGATTTGTAATTAGATAAAAACCTTTTGAGGAAAAGCGTGCCTCTCCTTAGTTTTGTATCAGCTGCAAGGTGACAGCAGGATATGGCTGCTCTTGAAATAGCTTCCTTATGCTTTGAAATATAGAGTGGAATGACTGTTATACTCTAAAATGTTGAGAAGCATGAAAACGTAGACTAAACACTAATTTTACCTTCTGTGACTACAGTGATGCCAACTGGTATTTTACGCTTCAAAGTAATTTTGGTAGTTTTGATGAGAGACATACTAGACTGCTCATATTTCTTGGCTTTGAGTGTAAAAGTAACTGTTGAGCCCTCAGTGAGGGCAGAGCGAAAAATTGTTGTTGGTTTGGTTTAAAGTAATGTATTTGTGTTCCATTCTATTGCAAAGACTTCCTATGCAGGGCTAGCTGCGTGTATGGAAATATTGCAGTTTCTTTTTTACGTGAAGTAATTTAGCTTTAACAGTAATGTAAAAAAGGAATAAGCATATTTCTCTGTTCCTACTCTCTTTAGGCTCCAAATGCAGATTACATTAAAAATATGTTTTGGAGAACACTTGTCCGAGTGTATATATCTTGTTTTCTCTGGGATATTTCAGTACTGGTTGCTAAACTACTTTTCCTGTTGAGTAGCTAAATGTGAATGCTGCAGCTTCGACCTTCCTGCCATTAAGAGTTGTACCTTAAGCAAAAGGTCATGTTTCATGCTCTTTCTGCGAAATTGTGGTCTGGCAAAGCCTTTACATTTCAGTGGTGGGTCGTAGTAAAGAAAAAGCTTAAGCTGGATGATACAGGAGAAATTATTTTCCCACTTTCTAGAAAAAGTAGTTAGTCAAACTGTTAAATGGGGTGGAAACATAGTACTTTCAGTTTGTAACCTAAAAGTAGATAGCAATGCCTTGTAAGAAGTAATCAGCACACAATTTGCAAGAAAGCTGGACAAATTAATTTTCTTATGCAGGCTTTTGAAGTATCTTCCATATTGCATGAAAAATTTAAAAACCAGAGGACTCTTTCAAGGGTGAGAGAAGTAGAAGATCCTTATTAGAGGCAGATAGAGAATTGAAGACTTTGAAGAAAATTACCATTGTAATTTCAAAATATCTTTGTAGTTGGGCACAGCAGTCACAGTCCTATCCTATAAGAAAGTGTCTATTTCAGAGAGCTGAGACTTTAGATTAGGCCTGATCAATAACCGTAGGATCAAAACGGATGATGTTCTGGATGAGGAAAACTGCTCCAGAACTTTCTGGGAGTATAATTGTCACACAGATGGCTTTTGTGAATCAAATGTAGATTCTCTTAATTAGGAAAGGCAAAAACTGGAAAAGATCATTTACATCATTATTCATCCTTCTGTAGTTGCAGATGATGAAAGATGTCTGCTGTTAGCTAAGCTATGTAACCATCCAAAAATGCTTCTTGGCTTGCAAAATGCAAGTGCTGGCTGATGCTTGAAGACCAAAACTCCTCATACAACGTAATGCAGGATTATGGCAGAGGAGACCAAGTGTGTGTGTTGCTCTGGCAAAGGCCATACTTTTGTTTGCTTTGCACATAAGATCCAGAAGGCCAAATGCCATCCACAGTGAACAGCTGAAGGCCCTTCTCCGCCACTCCAAAGTCTTACCTGCAGTTGATCTCCAGCATTCAGAAAAACTGAGAGGAGTCTATACTCAGAAGTTATGGACAACAGTATTGAGTTATGCACGCAGGGGAAAAAGAATTGCTTTCTGATTCATGTAAGTATCTTTCAGATGCCAGTGAGTGTGAGGTAATGTAAATTCTGAAAACAGAAACCACATCTCCCATCAGATCATAAGACATGATCATGAGACATGATCTGGGTTCCTCTCTGAAGTTCAAAGGGTTACTTCAGTCATATTTCTTGAAG